ATTTTGAATGAAGTATTTAATTTTAAGAAGGGGAAAAATAAATTAAACATTCCTTGATAAAGGCACACATTTTCTCTGTGAAGTCATTATCTCTTCATCTGTGAACTGTCATAGAAGAAGAAAATGACTAAAGGCAGACGGCTGACACATTTTCTTTGCCCTGGGATCCTCTTCTAAGTCACTTCTGACAAGGACAAGGGTTGTCACTCACAGTTTCCCATTACTTACTAAATGACTTGCATAATATGCCAAGAATGTGCAAATGCAGAAAAATCTCTGCCAAGAGCAGCACTACTGCTTATGCAGCTGGACTAATCTGTGGCATTTTATCTCTATTAGTGTTGATATTATTTGGCAAATGCCTTTGTCAGATCACAAAGATATGAACATTTATTTGCAATCAACAGCACTTCTACAGAATTCTTCCACAGATGATAACTGATTTCAGCTTATTCTTCACTTAGACTTTTCTCCTTTCCATATCTGATGAACAGTTACTGAATGTTCTGTTTGCTGTCTTTGTTTATTTATCATCTAAACACATTTTATATGAATTCATATTTCCTCTCTCTCTCTCTATAAGTTTTCCTCTCTTCCATTAAGTCTATTTGACTATATAAAAACTGAATTGAATTATCCATGGTGACTGAACAGAAAACATGTGAAGTTCTTTTATGTACAGTGAGCTTGGAACACATTTATAAGTGTTATAAATAGATTAAAGAAGATCAACAATGAAAAAATGAAGATGAAAAAAGATAACATTTGATGCACATTGGCCTGAACTTGAGAATATTTTTTTAAAAAATGAAGGTTAAATCATAAGAAGCTCTGATAAAGTAAATCTGGCAGCTGATCTTGAAAATAACCTTCAATCAGTTGTTAACTGGAGCAAGAAATGACATGTTAATTTTAATGCCTCCAAAACAAAATTGCTGTCTTTTAGTCCTTAGAGAACTATTTTTGCCTTCCATCAGCATGGCTGATACTAACCTCCAGGAGAGTGATTGGCATCTTGACTTTATGGCAATTGGAGGAGGGCATCTTGACTTTATGGCAATTGTTCTAATGAGCTTACCTCCTTGGTACTTTGACCACAAGTTTAAATGTAGTACTAGGAAACTAGGTCAAATTGTTTTTACTGTTGCAATAGCTAGATGTAACTAAGTTCTATCCTAAGAGTTTTTTTTCTTGTACTTATTGCTTATGAAAGTCTCTTCCAGTTTCTTACTTCCTTGTCACCTATAATCTTCAAAAGTTTAAATGCAACATCAATCACTATCTTCTGTCTTCTTAAGTCCAGTTCTTTTATTGCCCTTTCTCTTTACTAACATTTTCTTGTTTTTTTTTTCACTCTCAGTAACCCCTTATGTCTTGGTGGCATTATCACCTTGCTTGAGGTGAAAAAGAAATTCAGACAAAAGTGTTTCTACCAAAATGATAATGAGGACAAGAGATTGGCAGAAGAACAAAATATTCAGAGCTTTGAAGGATCAAAAGGTTAATGAAATAACAGGTTCATCAGTATGACTAAAGACATCTATTACACAACATGCCAGGTGATTATGAAGAGAAAATATTAGGATTTCTTAAATTTGTTAAAAATGCAGAAAAGGAAACATTTTTTGAATCAGAGCAAATAGGAAATATAGAAAAAGTTCCATTAAGATTTAATGTACTATCCAACAACACTGTGAATGTCAAAGGGTCTAAAATCATTGGCCATAAAAAGATTACTTATATTTTCTTAGAAATAAGAGAGCAATTCACTTTTATTGCTTACAACAGTTCCATTTGCATTATTGGTAAACAAAAATGCTTTTCTATTAAAGTTCATATTTTAAAGTTTGGTCTATGCAAAAAATGTGTAAAAGTAATACTTGGTATTATAAGAAGTAGAAATACATGCTAAATTGTTAATTTGATCTATAATGTTTTCATTTGCAAAACTTTTATCTTCAGTGAAAGAATGGAGCGATATTAAAGTGTGCTTTTAAAAGAAACATTATATGCAGTGGTATATGTGTAGAAGAGGCTCAGAAATGTTACCATCTCAGCTGAAACTCTAAGGAAAAAGGTTAAAGATGTTAAAGAAATATAGAAGAGTTAAATGTTTTCACAAAGAAATTTGTATAAAATACGTTTACTGAGATAAAACAGTTGAAGAGATAGTAATTTCTTTTCCTTGAGTATATTTTTTACTTTATCTACATGAATCACTTACAGTTATATAATGGGAGAAAATTGATTAAAAGTAGAGAATTGTTTAGGATCTTACTGGAACAATGTAGCACAAACTCCTTTTTCTAATTCATATATATCTAAGTGTATAAGATGAACATTGTGGCACCTGTTCTTTTTCTGTCACCAGTTTAGAGAGAAGGTTATTTGAATTTTATTTTAACAGTTTTATTTAGTTCATTGAGATTTTAAAATAAAAATAGTTACATTATTTTGAACAAAATATTTATGTAAGTCTGCATATAATATCTCTTAAAATATTTGTGAGTTGTTAATTTTATTCATATGCAAAAATCATTTATACATTTGACAAATATAAATACTGGTCATTTAATTGATTTACCTACTGATAGTTTGGCCTGCATTGTACTGTAGCTGATAAGATTTATGTTTTAATTTCTTGTCATTTGTTAACTTATCTTGGATAGAGCGAGGTCTTAAAAGTTTTTAATTTACGAACTCTTCAAATTTCTTTTTGTCAAACACTAAATGTATAACCAGACTAAAAATGTGAATTTTACTCTCACAAATAATTTTTTTTTTATTTCTATTAAAATCTTAATATAATCTTGAGTAGTTATGAATATTATTGACCTTATTATAGATTTTTGTAGCTGTTAAGTTCTGCCTGTACTTGTTACTATCTGGATGTTTTCAATTTCACCTTGCTGGTGGATAAAGCCAAATCTTGTTGGCATCCATCACCCAGCCATGAGTTAGCCTTTCTCAAAGAAGCTGTATGCTACATATAACTATTTATAGCCTAGTTTGTTTGTTTGTTTGACATGAGTGCTCCAGTAGCCAGCAATCAATCTGAAGCAACCCAGGCCAAGATCTACCACACAAATACATACATACAGTTGAATGATCAACCGAGACACAAAACCAATTTCTTTGAGCCTCAGCAAGTGCTTCTACATAGTTGTGGCCCACAGAGGAAAGGAATGTCAAGAAGTTGTGAAAAATAACAACTCCTTGAAAAGCATAAAGATATGGCGATAACTGGTCATGTTTTGTTCTGTATAAAGATTTATTGCTGGCTTTCAACCTTAGCAGACTGGTTACTTAATTTATGTAAGTTAAGCAGAGTTGTGTCTGTTCAGAATTAATGACTAATCATTTGTAACTTCTGGGGGGTTATAAAAAATGTAACCCATTTTAAAACATAGGTTGGTCTTGTATCATTATTTCTCATGGCTTTTTTTTTTATTTTAGTTCCATGCTCCTTTGGGATGTAGGTATGTAGGTGTTCATGACTCTCTACAGCCCTGTAACACCAAGGCCAGGGAGCCCAGTCTACCCTACTATTTAACTCATAGCCAGTGTGAGAAGATATTCATGCCTTTTCCAAGGGCATTAATGGGAAGGGAAGAAATGAATAGAAAATAGGACCGAATTTAAATTTGATTTTTATTTTCTAGGCTGTTAACCAACTTTACTTTCTCTTCTCACCCCTAAAGATTAGTAGTCGGAGTGTAGCAATAAATATCTTGAAACCCTATCACCAATAAATCTTTTGCTCTTAAGTGGCAGGAGCTTTCATCAAATACTGATAAAGCACTGAGATTTTATTCTTCTGTCCATAATTATAAAAATAATCAGGCCAGTTGTAAGTGTATTTAATGAATGCCTCCACATGCAAATGCATCCTGGAGTTGAAATCTTTGAAGTATTATTGAAATAGGTTTTGATATTATAATTATGGTAGGATCTCACCATCCTTGGAATTGTCAACTGTGATATCACTTGCAGTTGGCTCAATCAGCAAACATGTATTCAAAACTTTTATTAAATTAAAAATTGAAAAATATATTTGAAAAGAGTAAAATAAAAAAAACAAACTTTTAATTATTTTGAAAATATTAAAAAATGAAGTCAGTGATCAGACCCTGAGTGAAAAAAGCACTCAAGTTAACAATAATAATAAAAAAATAAACAACTTTTGTTTATTGATGACAAATATTTTGATCTAATTCATCTCCATTTTATATTTGGTTTGCCTAAATAAGTCAGATGTATTTCTTAGTGTGGAGGAAAGTTGCATCCCCCTATGTCATCCAACCAGATTAAATATATTATAAAATATTGCTCCAATTCTACATTATCATTAATTTTTTGCAGGTAAATGTTTTTTTAGCAAAAACAAGAAAAAAGAATTATAAACAGTTTAAAATTTTTTAATGCATTTGCCAAATAATGTTGATTTTAAATAGTATATGTACTTTATTATCCATGGATTTAACATCTTAGAATCTATCTACCAAAGATAATAAGGTCCTTCTTTATTTGTATTCTAGCATTCAAGTAATAGAATAAGCTTTTTGCATTGTTTTTTAACTGTATTTTCTTTTTTGGGTCAGCAATGATTAATCTCATTTATGTTTTATTTTGAATTAATAAACAGAAGTGCTCCAATATTTTTATTTATGAGGTGTTGTATTTTATTGTTTACTTTTAATTAAGTCTTGTCTTTATTGTTCAAATCTTGTCCATACAATGTTTTTTGAAAACCAGTTCAATTTCTATTGAAATCCATACCAAGAAAATTTGAAGATACCCAATGTTATACAATTGCGCCTGAGAAATCAGCCTAAGTATTTTTTGAAGATAAGATAGATGCAGAGCTGGTGAAAAGTAGGCACACACACACACACATTCTTGTACAGGAGATTTTTTTTGTATTGCTATGATAACCTTTACAAAAAAAATTTATTGCAATTATTTTTCTTGTTGAATAAAATTTGCTTATTATTTTAAAGGTTCCTACTTCCTATAGGCTGCCACTTCTAATGGTGACTATGTTGCACTGTGGAAAATTATCTGCTGGCAAAGTGAATGCTTTCAAAGAAGTTTTGCTTATACCTAACTTTCATTTCACTATGAAAGAGGTAAGTGAATATTCAGTTTACAAGCTGATTTGATTTTTATAGCTTTTTTTTTTATTTATAGAGATATGACCATATGATATATGGAAGAAATAAAATTGACTATTTTAATGACCAACAGATTATTCCTGTTTTACCATTGAAGTATGGGTGAACCTGGCAGCTCGAATAACATGAAATAAATTTCTATTTTCTTGAAAGTGTCAGTGAAATTATTTACCATCTTTAGAATAGGAAATTATCACTTGAAACATATTTTATGCATGAATACATCTGTGTGTGGGTGAATATATATATATATATATATATATATATTTTATATATATATATATATATATATATATATATATATATATATATTGGAGGCACAATGGAATAATGGATAGCGGCTTGGATTGAGGAATTGGAGAGCTGAGTTTGAATTCCAGTTGAGTTCATTACATTCACATACTTGCTAATACCCTGGGAAAGGTAGGAATCCATCTCTTCTCCTCCCAGCTATGAATAAATAGCAGGGCAGACTGGATCCTATAGCCTTGAGTGGCAACAGTCTAGGAGAAAGACAACTCTGAATTCAAAACCTGTGGAGAGTTGTTTGGAATACTTTGCACCAGTTCTCTGTATTCGGCTCTTCCAAAAAGTGTTATTGGTTCTGCATAAGCCTTCACCACTATAATCGAATGATATGTGTGAATCGTCTGGTTGTTGGTTCTAAGAACTGAGCTGCTTAATCCTCATATGTCGAAAATTATGGGAGAGTCCAGATATATATATATATAGTCATTCTAAGACAGAATAAAATGAGCCAGGTCAATTTAAGAATTAAAAGAAAAAACAAACAGGTATATTTTAGAATTTTTGGTCAAGGTAAGTAATTAATAGAAGCCTTCTCCTTATTAGAAAATAGTTTGCAGTGAAAAAGTTACTGTCCTATAATGGTTTGTATCTTATGGGGTGACATATACTGAGATTCATAAACTCCTGCAAAAAAAGAAAAATTCCCATTTCACTGTTTACTATAAAGAGAATTGGTTTATGATTTCAACAGACAGGTTCCTCTAAAAGAAATAAGGAATCTGACAGGCCTTGGTCTACCACAAACAAAGATGATAGCTAAAATATGCAGTTCATTATGAGAGAAAGCAGAGTCTGCAGAAACTATCAAGAGTTCAAACAATAAGCTAGTTTTCAAAAGAACTATCACCAGAAGATTGTCAGAAGTTGATTTCACTTTTAAAAACAGCTAAGAAGTTGCTGTTCTCAAATTAGAACATTACAAACAGCAGTTGATCATTGAGAATGAGAGCTCTGTGTTTAAGACTTGTTTCAGAGAGTTTTGTAGAGTGATGAAACTAGAATTAAGCTTGTGATTGATCCTCTTGAATTTTTTGTAGATTTAGTTCATTTATATGATGTAATAAATCTCTAAATAACATTTTTTTCAGAAGGGATTCCTTCCCAGCATCTAAAAGCAGTTTCCTAGATGAAAGTGCAATGTAATGTCTCTTCTCATACTGTGAAAACAACCAAAAAGTGGTTAAGAGACAATAAAAAATGATATATGGTTCTTGTCAGTGTCTAGATTTAAATTTCATAAAAAACTTATAGATCCATATTCAGCACAAAAAGATGTAAGACCTTTTCTGCATATATAACCAACCAACTTGAAATGCCTAAAGAAATCTATAGAATATGCTATCATATGTTGATTATAAAACAATTTTCTGATGATTGTTTTTTTTTTTTCAGTTTTGTCTTCTTTGCTTTTTTTTTTTTTTTACTAAATGTTCCTCCAACGCAAGGCCCAAGAGCCACTCGAGGTAGAGTGTTATTGAATGAGGTTCTTGTGTGGATGTAAGAGGAGGAAGTAAATTCAGATTATAAAGGTATGTAGAATAGATAATGGTTGACCCTAGACTTGAAGAGATTAAGATTGGAGTAACATCCTCTCAGTAGTCTGTTTCACAGAGTAGTGTTTCTTGGGAGGAAGTTGCCTGAGTGGAACTTCCTTCTTACCAATGGAATACAAAGAGAATGAGGATGTTTTAACCCTGTGTATGTGACAATGTGTTCATAGTTGTAAAGGTCTGAACTGTTGGAACTAAAGAATGCATCTTGTCTATGTAATTGAAATGGAAATAGTGATAGGCTTGCAATGTTAAGACTGTGGAAAATGAGCTGTAGGGTTAAATAATTCATCACTCACAAGGTCACATAAATGCTTTTGAACACTATCAAACCTATACTTTTCCACTGTTTGAAAATTTGGTAAATGAAAACTTGATTTGAAAAGACAAAATTTCCAAAGTCAATCTTTCAATATCTTGCTGCTTTCTCACTTAAACATTAATGGATTTAAGAAATGGCTTTCTTCTGGTTGCTTTGTTATTACAATAAAGATCATTTTGAGACACTGTGCCACACTTATTTCCTGACTTACAATGAGTAAGTCTTTTTTCAGTCTCATCACTTAAAGACATATTTCTGATGAATCAAGTCAACATGAACAAGATACAGTGGTTTCCTTTCCTCCATTAATGAACTGTGCAATCACTTAGCTCACATTTGAAAAAGGAATTCTCAATTTTGATCTTATCTGGGATTGGTTGATTCTCCCTTCATCAAGAACATTCCTTTTATAATCTGACAATTCTCATGTTTCTGAGGCTCATTTGTATCTTTTGCATTTTATATTACTTTTATACATTATTTTTTGCTGTAGAGACTAATATATATGTTTGTTTTATAGTAAAAGCTAAGCATCTCTTAAAGTTAGATTATTTTTTTCTTTGTATTTTTGGCACAGTCATAAATCACACCTAATATTGTCATGGCTTATTTCTCTTTCCTTAATATTTTAGCACTCATAACACAATAGTTGCTGGACTCATTAAACTGATTGTTATACTTAATAATTATTGAGTATTACATTATTGAACAAGCTGTTTTATTTACTATTTTATTAGAAAATTAAAGGACAAGACAAAGATTAAATGTCAATTCAGTTTTTGAAATTTAAACAATTTAGGGAAAAAAAACAATTATATACATGATAAATCAAATAATTAACTTACTATTTGGTAAGAATAATGTATATATCATAATTTTGGAACAATCCTTCTTACTAAGGATTGATTTTTTTATATCACCTTGTATCAATCCTGTGCTTTATTTAGTAGATAGCTCCATCTAGTCTTCTTAGCTGTACATTTGCCAACATGATTCAGTTATTATAAATAGCAAAACCTTCCCATATTTTAATGAAGACAGTTCTTCTGCAATAGTAGCTTTAGTTAAGCAACTAAAAACGAATTAAAAAAAAATTACTCTTGGTAACCAATGAAAATATTCCCTCAAAATTTAAAATCCTTGATTTGTTGTTTTGTGGTAACATTTTTCTCATCCACTTTCTCTTCAAAGTGCTATTTCATTAGTTACTTTATCAAAACATCAGCTAAAAAAATAAATAACTCATGAAAATAAAAAAATTGTAGAAACAGTTATGACAATATAGTAAAATTTTCTAGAGATATAATTATGAGGAATTGTTTGAAAACAAATTTTATTCAGGGTATTTATTTAGATTGGATGTTTTAATGATTTTATGATAGTTGTCTTGAATTTCTGCCATTGATACTGATGTAAGATTTGTGAAAGAAAAGAAAAAGAATTGAGAAAAATAGGGATTTAGAAAAATTATTGAAAGAAATAACTGATATTTTGAATTGTTTTTTATTGTCTCAAGATAGTTTTACAAAGGTGTTTTGCTAATAGATTGTAATATTATTTTGCAATGCAGATGAATACTAGAAAACTTTGAAGATGACCTTTTCTGATGGAAGTTATTTTTTCTAGTAAGAACAATTAGAAAATCAAAGAAAGAAAACTGATAATTTGCTGCTTCTACTTATGGCAAAAGGAAAAGAATAGAATGAAAGAAAGTGGGCAAGAAAATGAAACAATGAATAAGAAGTGAAAAAATAAAAAGCAGTTGGATACAAGAAAGCAAAGATTAATAGAAGTGTGAAAAAATTGAAAAAGAAAAGATTACTGAATATAAAAAGTATAAAAGAATTTAGTTTTCTGGAAAGGAATGGAAGAAGAGAGAAGGTCCACTCTCTTTCCTGGGTGTTAAAAAAAGCTGCAAGCTAAATAAGCTCAACTACCACATGAAATTTAAAAGAACAAACATTTATTACAAAACATATTGAAATAATAAAACAAATACAACTTTTTACAAGATTGGCTTGCACAAAAATTTCCTTTTGTGTACTTTATTTAAAAAAAATAATGCAGTATAACATATCAAAAATATATAAGTGATTTTAAAAGATTTCAACACAATCTTCAAAAAATGAAAAAGGTTTGAGAAGGTAATACAAAATCACAGAATGAGGGAACTTTGGCAATTTCAAACCACCAGTGTCACAGAGACTTCTTATAATTAAACACAGTTCTATTAACAGGTTTCAGTTACTTTTATATGTATGCTTCTGAAGTAGCAGTCAAAAATTGATTTACCTTCTAAGTCCTTATTCTGCCTTCAGCATGAATTTTTTATATCAATTCATCTTCTATTTTGGTTGAAAGATTTGGTACTTTGAAAATTTGATCTTCTTCCTCTTGAATTTTGAATACTTTCTGAAGCTTATTTGCTGGCCCTTCTCTTTTTATAACAATCAAAATCAAAGAGGCTCCTTAACTTCAAATTTATGTGGGCATAAGACCACACTTTTGATTAGATAATAAATAGAAACTGTACATATTTTTTGAATTTAAAATATGAAATTGAAAGAATCCACTCTGACAGAAATAATTTTGGCTGTTCTTTAATGACCAGTTCTAAAAATAGAAAGTTTTATAAACAAATGTTTCAATGTTTTCATAAACCTTTCTTTAAAATACACTTCTCTAAAATGTACATGTATAAGACAAACCTTGACAAGTATAATATTTATTCATTTGTTTATTTACATTTTTTAATTATTATTTTTAATCATTTTGTAGTAAAAATTTTATAAGTAAAAGAATGAGTGTTTTGTGTGTATCTTTTGTGTTGACTGACTCCTTTCTATTGTTAACATTTTATAGCTCCTGAATGAATTTACCATTCACCTTTTTGCTTACAGTGTGTTTCTCATCTGTTGTGTATTCATGATCATTTGATTACCATTCTACTGGACACCTATCCTAAGCTAATGGTGAGTAACCCTGGTATACAATTACACTCTCTTTAATTTTAGCTTCCATTATCAATCTTGCCACTCATCTCTTTAAATGTCATGAAAAATAGATACTATCACAGAAGTTTTACTTTAATTCTTAGAGAAAGAAGAATCAATCATTATAAAAGTTTTCACATTTTCATGATAAGTGCATTCTAATTCCTGTATTTTAGATTTCTACTGATAAATATCATAGATTTTATTAATCAGTTCACACTTCATATGCAACTATTGCAAAATCATTTTTTCCTACTGCATTCATAACCTAATAATATTTATAAATAATAATGTAAAGCATGACAATAGTTATTTTTTTAAATTAAGAAAGATAACTATTTTGTTTAATTTATTTTTTCTAATTTTATTATTTGGTTTTGATAAGTGAAAATATTGTGAAAAAATTAGATATTTGTTGTGTATAAATATATACAACATTGTATTGTTGGGTGAAAGGTTTCCTAGAGTGAAGTCAGTGGCCAGGGCAGAGGGTTTCCCCTGATGAAATCCATGGCCAAGTTGAGCCTTCAAGTTGGAGAACATTGATTGTGGTTTGACTTATGTCTACTTGTCCAATACATGCTGTACATGAACGAATATCAATCTGGCTTTCAAGATATGCAGAAGGAACTGGAAAAAAGCTCAACTGGATTATGACCCTACAACCTCACCTCTCTATGAGACTGATGATGTATATAAATTACTACAAATAGATAAATAGCATCTTAAAAGAATTGTGATATATATATAAAGAACAATTTTGATCAGGAATTATAAATATATCAAAAAGTGGTTTATATATATTAAGATTAAAAATATTATAGAGTAGGTGTTACTGTTGTTTTCCATATGTTATCTATATAAGATATTGATAAGTACTAATCAAAGAAACAAAGCCTTTGAATATAGATTGTAACACTACAGCTGGAATGATCCCAATCATGGCAACACTATAGATGATGAACAGGTTTGTGCTCCAGTCACTGAATTGGTCACATCTTGGAGAGGAAACTCATCCACCTATGTTGTGTTTAGAAGATCTGAAGAAGTCTGAAACTCAAGGTTGAAATACCACAAGCTCATACTAGACATGTCTCACAACAAACACAGATTCCCAAGATTGGTCCCAAAGCTGTTTCAACTAGCATCTTCCTTAACCACTAATACTTGACCACAATATGCAGTGATCTGCTGGCTTTAGCTGACTTCCCCTCTCTCTCTCTTTTTTCATTAGTGGCCTTAATCAGCTCTCACTAAGAATTCTGTGCACTTGTAAGCAACCTGCTAGCTTGTTGCCAATGATGTTTTGGTCTGATTTGACCACTAATCTATATTCCTAAGGATCTTCTTTGTTCCACGAAGCACATGGCCAGCTAATGACTTAACTGAATTTTGATATGACTTGCTAATAATCTACCATGGAATATGTTTGTATATAAATGCAGCTCATTGGCATTGACTGAGTTGTATTTTTTTTGCAGGGAAGGGGGCATTTCTCCCAAATTATTCAGCCTAGGAAATCACACAAATCTGATGGATAGGTCTTTATGTAAACAACTTAATCTGAAGGGTTTTTTTTTTTTTTAGAAATAATTTGTGATTATCAGCTGGTGATGTAATTTGATACTTGTCATCATTTTCAACCACCTTGGCCAATGCAGGTTGGTCCATGGCCATAACCAGTTATATTAAATTACTGATATTCAGATTAGATTCCTTAAAAACCCACTCAAGCCCACTTAATTTCTTAAAACTAATTAACTTAATTAGTTCTTTTTTCATATTTAATTCCAATAATCATTCGACACAATCCAGCCTTCTCTCATGTTATTCTCTGGTTCACTGCCCTAAAACTGAGCAACACAGTTTGTCAACTGCTGTACAGCATCCTCAAGGATCTACTCATTTTGAATGAGTGATTTACCACCTACTTCATCACATAGGCTATTATTCAATAAATATGTTTCATAGATACAACTTTATTTGCTATTTTCTTTTTTGGGGAACATACTGAATTGTCAGCTTTAAAATAACATTTTCAGAACAATAAAAGATAATATTAGATAAGCTTGTGCATCTTGGTTATACTAAATAACATTACTTGTAGCAATTCATTTGAGATCATTTAACAAGTTTTGCCAAACATGAAACCTTAGATGTTATGATGATATAACAGTTTTGAAATAAATCCTTCAAGTAAATTTAATACCTTAATCAAATTACTAATACTTTACCACCTTTACATTTGATTTTTGGGAATGAACTACGTCAGTGATTTCTAAGCAGAAAGACACACCTGTGTAGGATTAAAATAAATTCCCAGTACTGATAAAGATTATCAAATTTCTAGATATGGATTACCAAAATGCTGGCTGGAGACAACAGCCATAAAATATCTTCTAGCCAAAACAGCTTTTTAATCATCCTTATTTCAGTATTTAATTTGTTTATTTCTTTCTTTTAAATTTTAGTAACCTATTCTGCCTACAGTGTGTCTATAAGAACAACACTACCCAAAACATGGTGTGTCTGTCTGATGTATAGACATAGATATTTACTTATTATAATATTAAATATTGTTAATCATAGTTAAAGTATGAAAGACCCAATCAAACTGTTTCCTTGCTGGTCAATCCACTTTTTGTTTATTACACTTTTAATTTTTCTCAAATCTGTTTTTGTAATATTTTTAAAACAATTTTTCTTAACCTTGCTAAAGTTTTCGATTTCTTTTTTGATTGTTCTTTGATCTTTGTTCAACATTTTTGTAACTTCCAATTTTGGGTTCCTATCACCTGAGGTTATATTTTTCTTACAGCCAATAGCAATCATTATATATCTAAAATTAAAGAATAAATATCAATAACTATATTATTTTATGCATTTATTTCCAATATGATGAGCAACTCTCATGTTGCATAATAAAATTTCACCTCACCAAATAAGTTATTGTAAATATTTCTAATAAAAACACATATCATAAATGGAAATTCACAGGGTATATTTATCATATAAATATAAGTATATTGTTAAAATGTTATTGGTTGGTTAATACCAATTTTATTGTGAAAACATTGATCTTCATCATAAAATCTGAGAGTATAGATTTAAGTATGAATGAATTATGTTTATTGAACTCTCCTTTTTTAATCTTGATTCTGCAACAGTCATTTTTGATTCTCTCAAATATCCATTACTTAGATATCTCTCTCATTCAATTTATATTTTTCAGTATAACTTAAACAAAGTGAGTGATATTGGAGCCATTACAGTTCAATTTGATAAACCTGAGCAAGTTTTGGATTTGATCATTGAAGCTATTGAAGGTGCTGGCTTTACACCTGGAAAAGATTTTAGTATTGTCATAGACTGTGCTGCAAATGAAGTTGTTGATATGGTAAATTTTATTTTTTGCTTCATAAAAAGGACTTCTCAATAAATTTCTATGATTATGATCTAAGTAGAAACAAGAGAGAATGTATTTAAAGTCCTCCTAAATAACCTTTTCACTGTTTTAACTTTCATAAATATTTATTTAGAAGATATTTTATAAATGTTATATAAAAACTATATTTTTTGACTTTTCAATCTTATATACAATCAAAATCTGAGGCTGGTGCTCTGAATATGAGAGCTTTTTAATTGTCCTTTTAATTTTTGTCCATTTTATGATTAAATCTTAAAATAGCCTCTCTTAAAATATATGTTTTTTTAACATTTTAGGTGCAATACATATAAACTGAAGTGCCCTAAAATTAGAGACAGTAGTACACTGGATAGTTTTGTCTTCTCCAATTTAATGAAATGAGCTTGGCCAGATGATACCCTGTTGGCAGGATTTAGAATATGTTAACTGCATCTCTTGCAGAGAAATAGCACTCCCCAAAAGAGCCACGTACAAAGTAATGTCTTTTAGACTCAAATATAAATGACCAATATTTATCTATTCTCAAACCAAGTAAATACTTATAGATTCAAATGTAATAAAAGTTGACATTAAATAACCCAACAAGAGTTGACATGTCATAAAATGAACCAACTCAACCAGATGACATATATGTGATGTAATAGGTATTGTAAGTGTGAGAGTGTAGCTGTGGCAACTATGAGATGCAGACAGAATTTAACACTGTTTGATCGCCCTGGGTATAACAATAAACTACATCTGGCAGCAAAGCCTCTGATTGGGAGATTGGAACTGAATCATGAGTGAAACTTGACAGGTGTAATTAGATTTTATTGCAGATCATTTGCACTTTTTTTATGAGTGACATGTTTCCCAATGATGATAGTTTATTCAGCAAGATCACAGATCATTTCTCATTATGTGGGGAAAAGTAACATGAAATTGGTTTTCATGAACACTCAGTTGACTTCTAGATATTCTATTGAAGATGTATTGGATACATAACAGGCCTCAATAAAATCCTTGCAGTCACACCTAACAAAAAACAATTCAGTTATGGACAGTGTGCTAGAATGTGTAGCTGGATAGATGCGCATTTACAATGGCTCAAACATTTTATAGATTCCATGCCACATTGGGTAGTGGACATTATTCAAGTGATGAAAAGAGCTACGCATCAAGAAGCTGTCTGTAATTTTCTACACTTCAGTTTAGGTGTTTTATATCAAACTTGATTCATTCTAGCCTAATTTTAAATACTAATAGAGGTGGCCTATAGAGACCAAATTTTTCAAAAAAGTGGGGAAGTGTTTTATTCCACTCATTTGTGTCCAAATAGAAGGAAATGGCCAACTTTTTGAAAATTGGGATGGAGTTGGACCGAAACATGCCCAGACCTGCCTGGGACCTAAAAAAATCACTAAAAATGATAAGGTATTTCAAATAACATTAATATTCACCAACAAATCTTCACCAAAATGATTCAAATGATGAAATTCATGGTTCTACGTATACAATATTGAGTCTATACATTAATTTTCAAAGAAAAATAGGGACAAAATTGATTATTTCGAATTGAAATCACCAAATACTTCAACATTACGTTCTATTGAGACACACTATTGGGCAAAAGTGTCCATATTTGAACATCTCAGGCCATCATAAAGAGCAGAAAGAATGGTCAAGAGCGTTTTTGGTGATTCCAACACACACACATTTTAAATATTGCATCGTGAGTTTGAAAGTAAACCATGCCATACATCTTAAAGTGCATTCAATATATTCCACTTCAAGTTAAATTCACATGCCTGTACTAGTTGATTATTTGATGGTGTATCTGAAACAGTATTCCTTAGATCATCAGAATGGTAAAGCAAGGCAGCAGCACTATCCAAAAAGACCAAAACGTCTTTCTTTATATAATGCAACCTTTTTCTTATTACCAGCTTTATTCAATACATCATCAAATTCCTCATGTTTTATGACCATCTTTTGATACAAGTTTACAAAATGCATCAATTACAGCAGGGATTAAACATTTAGCCAGGAAAGATTTCAAAGATGGCATTGTTTTGATTATTTTTTCCTTTAGTTCAAAATTAGTCTCTACATACTTCAGAACATACAGGTTTCCTCTGTCAAGCACCTCACAAGTGTGACTCATGCAAAGAAGATGTAGGGGTATGTGCTGTGGCAGTAGGGTTGCAGCTACCAAATTTTCAATCACCAAATTCTTGGAAACTGAATCTGTTATGAGGGCTGTTATTTTACCCAAAATTGGTCTATTTTTGCTTCTAACCTCAAAAATATTTTCCTAATGTCTGCGTAAGCTTTGTAGAAACAACATATAACCATATATTCAATCATTTGATTCAAAATCAGCAAGGTTTGTGGCTCATTTTTAAAGTTTTGTGGAATACAGTGTCATTTTTAGTGATTTTTTTTTTTTTTTTTTAGCTCCAAGCAGGTCTGGGCACATTTTGGTACAGCTCTATCCAAATTTTCAAAAAGTTGGCCCATTTCCTTTGATTTGGACACAAATGAGTGGAATAAAACACTTCCGCACTTTTTTTTTTAAATTTGGTCTCTATAGCCCACCCCTAATACTAGTGGAAGTACCTAGCATTACTCAGAAATACCTAAAATAAATACCATCATATAAGTTCACTATACTTTGTATCAATTCTTTTTAAAAATGCTGACAGTTTTCAGTTAATTCAGCAATGTTAATTCTATTTGAATAGTTCATTTCAAACAATTACAAAAATATTTCTTCTTTACCTTAATAAATATTTGGAAAAACATGTAAACAAATATAGGACTTAAAATTAAATTCTGTTCTTGTAATTTTAAAAAATTTCTAGGGGAAAATAATTTTTTTATCAAAATTTACATAATTGCTATTTGCAACATTTTTAATTCAGAACATTTTTCAGCAAACTTGAACCTTCATGCCCATACAAAGGTCCCAGTTTGCTTATTTTTCATTATCAATTGCAGCATGAAGTGTAGCATGGGGGAAGGATTGGCAAACAAGAGCACTCATTAGATGAGGACCACTCCTTCTGTGGACCCCAAACAGCTGTTGGTCACTGTAGAGCTAAGCTTCAGAAATGGGGATATACCACCAGTGTTAATCAGACAGTGTGGAACATCTTCTAGTTTGCCCCAATCTTGAAGATTCATGCACTCTTAACGACCTTAAAAACTTAACACCCCAGGCAAGGCTCTGTGTGCAACACTGGATGGGTGTGGTGTAGTGACTCGACAAGTAATTGCAACATTTTTTCCTAAAGAGAGAAAAAAATAAACCTATTCGGCCTAACTGACCATTGCTTCTAATAATTTCATGTTTTAATTATCCATGTCTACTCATTTGCCTCTCAAAGTCAGTCTACCCAAATATAATGGAAGAAAGAGGACACAAAAAAACTCCTTTGACCTACATGAGTGCCTTGGGGTGGGATTATGGTTAGTGAGCTAGTTCAGTCTGGTAGTGTTTTCAATTCTTACTAGGTGCCAAACTAAACTATGCTTATTAGATAACAAATCCTTTGACTTTTAATTGCTGTTTTAGCTTTCAACTACTACTCACTAGCATAGCAACAGGTCCCTCATGAAAAGTTGTATATATGGACAAATTTTTAACTACCTAAGTGTATACTCTTGGAAAGAGAACACGGACACACTCATACAAATTGACTCTATTATATATATTAGCTGTATTCACTCAAAAATGCCTACCATTTATATCAATTGTATTTGTACTATACAAACAAGTAAATGAATGTAAACTTTTTGTTATCATCATTATGATGTTATGTTATTTGTTGTAATTTTGTTTTGCAGGAAAAAGGCCGTTATGAATTTGTGACTGGAATAAACATGAAGAGTATGGCGGATGCAGTTGAATTCTGGATGGATTTGGTGACATCCTATCCTACAATTGTTGGTCTCATTGATCCTCTACGCAGAAAGGTGGTGTAGAAATTCCTAAGTTGTTTTCAATATTCCACAACAAAAAAGAACTTCTCTTACTAGTTACTTCAGTAAACTATTCAATAAAAAATACTACTTTTCTCATAAGCAAAGATAGATGAACCTATTAGCATGTATAGTTTATCTTAGACTTCATATATATTAAGAGATAACTTATATTGAGTAATTAAAAGCTAGAAATTTTTTTAATAACTTTTTACTATAAGCCATGAGAGCCATTAACTAATTCACATTGCATGAAATTCATTTACTTACAAAGAAGTAAGATGAAAAATGTTGCATGCAAGTAATAAGGACATTTACAAATTTATATTTTACTGTATAATATTTTATTATATCATTCTTTTTTATACATATATTTATTTTTCTTGTGTTTTTATTACCTTTTATAATTTTTAGACAACACAATTTGATGAATATATAAAACTAGCTTTAAAGGAAAGTGGTCAGTGCAGTTTAGTGAAATTAATTTTGACTTGCATTTTAAATTAGTAAAAAAGGAACATTACTATAATCTGATCACAAAAACCTGCTTTCTTTTCTTTTTATTAAAATAAAACATTTTCTTTTTAGGCAAACATTTGCATGTGTTTTAAATACTTATAAAATTCAGCAATCATTAGCCTTTATCTTATTAATGTTCATGCACTGATGGAAAATAAAATTTCAGCATTGTGAATACTTATTTCAATTTACCCAATATTAAACATAGATAATATAGTTAGCTTATAGTAAATGAGCATATACAAAAGAATATATGCACAAGTTCCAAAATAAGAGGTGTACCAACAGTACTCAAAAACCCTATATTAATATACTGTATATCTTACTTTGATATTGACATAGGCATGTGCTCTTGCATGCATACAATTGTACAGATGGCGAATACCATTCTGCTATACATTATTTCATGCCTCTTGTACCTGTTGATACAATAGCATAAGAGGTGTAGGAAGCCTAAATAAGTCAGGATTTGGCCCATCATGTCTCATACATATAATAAGGACATGTCCTATGCCACTCAATGTTAGACATCATGTCGGTGAGCATTATCCTGCTGGAACAGTACATTATCTTCTAATTGTACAAATAGCAACTGAAGTTTTGTCTTATGGCACACCACAGCATGATACCAATGTTTGGGCCAGTGTGTTATGGGTGAATACACTCTAGAAGATGTTGCTCACCAGGTCTACATTACATAAACACACAAATATGACTATCACTTGCATGAAGGTAGAACTTGCAATCAACCCTGAACACTATAGAGCACCAATTGATACCACAGGTGACATTAGTAGAAGTTTGACTAGAGGCATGCATGTCTGTACTTTTGCTACAAATAAACGATTCTCAATAGTTCATGTTAACTCTTGGGGTCATTTTTACTTTGATCTGTGCTATTGATGCTAAGCAGTTTGTGTCTGCTGTCTTTACAATGTATTTATCTTGTTGAATGTCTGTACTATATTGTTGTCCAGAATATGGTCTATGGTTGTAGAAATGTTCATTTGACTACTGTTGCCAACACTGAAACACTATTGCTGTATCATGTGCAGCAATTCTCCAAAATGACTACCCAGGCTTTTGATGGGTTACAATCTGACTCCTTTCAAATGATTCTAATTAAACAAAAGAAGCACATGTACATCTCCATGGTATAACACCTGATACATTGGACTATTTCACCACACTGAACCTTATTACAACATGTATCACTGTCTAAAGCTCAGATACAGATGGTGTACAGGTAGGAGTGTTACTATATTAAAAGATGGCCAAAGACTTTTAAAATGTTATCAGAATATTTACTACTCACTAGCATTTACATACTGTACCCAGGTCAAAATTGGCATTGTTCTTTAGGGTGTTTTTCTATCATTGTATATATCGAAAGATAGTGTCAGGATGATGTTTCTATTGCACTTGGATATCAAAGTTATGAATTAAATTGAAATATTGGTAATTTAATCCTTTTATCAACATTGTGGTAATTTTCTTCAAATAGGAAGGGAAATCTTTGCTGCAGCTGTGTCAATACATTTCTAGTCATTGCCTGATCATTGAAGACTGTAATTCTAATTGCAAAGAAGCCAAAACTCCTGATCAACCAGAAAGCACATTCAGTCCATTAAGTGATGACATATCTCAACAAACACATGAGCACAATTCTGAACAAGTAGATATTTATGTTCGCAGTGGCCAAGTTTTTAGACTGCAGCAAAGTACTACAGTTACAGATCTCATTAATTCAGTAGCAGAGCACAATGGTATGTCTTTTCTTTATTGAATTATTAATTTATTACATTCATTTTATTGCATTAATGATTACTTATGTAATGCTGAAATAATGTTGTCAAATTATAACCAGCAGTGATTACTTCTTTAGGCAAATTATATCTTGTGTTTAGCATTTTTATATCAATTCCAATGCTATCATTTTGAATCCTATTTCATCCTATTTTCTGTGCATGTTATTGAAGCTTTACTTTTCTTTATAAACTTTATCCACAATTCTAGATTTTATCAACTACTAAACAAATCTTTGTGACTGGATTGAATACTTTTGACTTTTCTTCCTGGACCAATAATTAAAAGAAATAGGAAGACACTTGATAATAAATTTGAAATAGAGCCAAACTTGAAATAGAATTTTGAATGATGCATTCACACTTTAACATTCAATCTGAATTACAAATTGTTTACTGTTTGTTTTGATTATATTCTTGTCTTTAAGAGAGAACAATTGGAAGTGTCAATATGATAAATATCATTAATTCATTTATTTCTCTTTGTAAATCAAATCTTTTAAGGAAGTGTTATAACCAATTTTATAAGTAAGTGTATGCTTTAAACTATGTATCCAAAGTGGTGATTATTATCATATCTGTCCTTGGATTTTAAAAATCAAACATAGAACTTTTGAAAATAATTTCAAGATATAATTATTTATCAATGAATAACAGACAGACTTAAGATATTTATAAATAAATTGACTAAATACTGAGGAACCAGAAATCTTGATATACCTGTTAAATGTCAGTATATATATATATATATATATATATATATATATAATTCATGAGAGAATTTTATTTCAAGTTATGTTCTGTAGTGGTTTTAGAAAATAATTGTATTAGTAGTGATTGGTAGAAGTACTTAAACCAGATCTTGGTTTGTGTTCCTGACATCTTTTCAAGGAATAAGTAGTCACATAGTGTCAATGTCAACTTCAAGAGAAATTTCCATAGATGCATTCTAAATTCCACTGGAAACTCAGCTATTCTGTTACTGATGCCAAGAGGTAGGTTATACCTTATCTGGTAAAGGCAGCTTTTTACATCAACTGATTTGGTTTTTAGTAACAGGCATCTTAAGCCTGCCTCTACTGCTATCAGATTTTTACTTGCTCTATCTCTTATACCCAATTATTTGTAGAAGTTGTTCTCTACAGAATCAAGTTAATTAATTATTTACAATTCATTATATAGTGATATAATAATACAAGCTTTTGGCGTATTTTATTTACATTCATTGCATTACTTTATTACTTGCATTTTGCTTCATAGCTTTGTGGTATGACCATTAAGCTGAAGGTTATAAATTGTAGATTTTTGTTTATTTTTGGTTAATTTTCTTTAATTCACCAAAGATAATGGTTAAAGTGACAAAACAGGCAACTGTTTTAACTAAGAATAAAATTAGATAACAAATATAAAGTAAATATATTTGCAATAATGGAATTAGCAAAAAATATTTTTTAAACAGATATCATTAAGTTCTAAATTATTCTTGAAAATTTCATGATTTAAGTTACAGATTTTGTTTTGTATCTGATCTGATTGCTGCCTTCATGGTTTTATTGTTGACTTTCATATTTTTATCCTCCTCCTCCTCCTCCTGATATTTTCACATTTATTTACAGGTGTCTTTTTCCCTATCCAATGTTTCATATCTCTGGGCCTAATCTTTCTCTTTCATTCAATTACTGCAATCTTTGAAGATGGAGAAAGTAAAAACTGTGAAGCCACCTGTCAGACATTGAAGCAAGTCATGTCAGATGCACTTGTCACAGAAATGGGACAAACTAGCTACTCAAGTAGCAGCAGCAACAACAAACACTAGACTAAACTGGTGTTATCAAAGATCTACATTCTCTCCACTTGTCACATCTAATTGAAGCTGCCTAGCATGCATACCTATGATAGTGAATATCTAAAAATAAGTTTGGCTAACTTCAAGACCTCAAGCTGAGTTACATTTTATCACATAGAGCTGCCATTGTTTAAATTTATAAAATTGTTTTTAATTTCATGTCATTAGTGGAAAAAGGTCTATAAATGATACAGTTACTCCATGTGCTGCCTCATTAAGAATTATACTTCTATTATACATTTTCTATTACCTGTGATTTTTTTTACTTGAAGACTTCCATAAAACCATTCATGTCTCAAGTAAAACTTTTACTGTTACTTCAATTCATTCCAATGGTATTTTTATAAGTTTCTTTCATAGTTTTTGTGAGGTGTTAACATCTTTTTGTCCCCATTGATACAAATTTTATGATTTCACTGTTATCACCAACTTATTTTTGTTGTAAGAAAGCAATATTTGAATTTTTGAAGCATCAGTAACTAAAGTGCTTGTTCTTTTGTTGACAGCTCGATTGACTTTTACTCCACTAAAATTTATTTCCACATCCCTTTATATACTTGAAAAATATAATTCAAATATAGAAACATAATGAAGGGATCAAAAATTTCTCTGAAGTGTTTTGTGAAACCTACAAACAGGTATTTTTACAGTAGTCATATTCTTATAAAATGATTGTTAAAACCATTTCACACGTTAATAACATTATGATTATTATTTCATTTTAGAACAACCAAGAAGATAAAGGCTGAAATTTTAATTTCTAGGGAATTAAAAATTAAGAGATTAGAAATCACTTGTTTATTTTTGTTCAGTACTCTCACTGCATGGAAGTTTGTACTTCATGATTGCAATTTTGATGTGAATAACTGAAGCACATCTCATCTTGGCTTGCCTTTTCCATGTATTGCATATGTACACCAAATGTGACTCCACCCTGTAACTATCAAGAAAAATATTTGGAGTCCAAAAATTTCAACAATATAAGTAGCATATTCTTATTTTTGCATGCAGCTTATTTTAATGATTGGTTCAAAGTGAAGATGTGGTTAAAATATAATTTGTTCAATCACTTTTGCTTTCATCAATCACATTTTCTTTTATCTTTTTTTAGCTCTTATAAAGAAAAATTTACTTCTTTACCTTCTCTCTCTCTCACAAGTCACATTGGCTTTGTTTCATTTCACTTTTTTCCCCGTTTCTTACTCTTGTAAAACATTTAATTTGCTCTAATAAGGCTTTTTTTTATCCATTTCCCTGGAAAAACAGTTTTTCTTTTCTACCCTCTAATCAAGTATTTTATCTCTCTCTCTTCTATTAATTGCACCCGCCCAGTTTTACTTCTCCCTGCTGCTCCCATTCTTATCACTTATCTTCCATTTTTGTCTACTGTTTCTTCTTCAACCATAACTCATAACCAGATGTCAAACAATACAGGAACATCCAACCAAAAGCAGAATTTATTGAAATAAACACATCTTTCATGAAGAAAAACTCAGTAGAATAACAAATCATTTTTTTTTTTTTTCACTTTCTTTTAAGTTAAATATTAAGGAAGTCTACACAGTACATTTCCTGCTTAAGTTTAGCTCCTTCCAAATAATCTGGATTTTGATTGTTCTACTCCTAATTCTTAGGTTTCTGTTGCTCAGTATTTACAACTGATTTTATTTTGGCCATGAGATACCTGAATATGAGAGAAACATTCAGGATTAGCCCAACGCCTAGGATGTTCAACAATTATTATGGATAACAAGACAAACATCTGACTGTACAATATGTTCCAAAAATTATAAGCAACACAATTCTTCATATGAATAGGTAATAATCACTCTAAAAATTTTGATAGTGAAAAAACGGAATTGATCTGAAAAAAAAAAAAAACTTGAATAGTTGATAGCAATATTAGGTAGATAAAATATATGGATGCTAAAGTTTGTTTCTCAATGCAAATTTATTTACTTAAAATTTTTTGTTGCAAGAAAACTTTTATTATCAGCATACTGATTTTTAAGTAATGATTTAAAGATAAAACAATATAAATTTAAAAAAAATGTTTCTTTGGGTTTTCCAAAAAGTTTGTTCTGTGTTTGTGTTAATGAGTATTAGGAGTATTAGCTTTCAATTTCCATTTCAAAAAATTGCTTTTGATTGTGGCAACTGTTACCTTTTTTTTTCTCCCAAAAAATGGTGTATCAAAATTGCTCTTTCTTTTTTTTTCAAATCTCAAAGTTTGGTGCTGTTTATAAAGAAGATTCCGTGAATAATGAAATGTATTAAAAATTGGTTTGTAAAGATTTATATTGGATTTTTCTTATTGAATGATGTTCTGTTGCCAAGTAGGCCAGTTAAGGTTGATAACAATGAAGTCAAAATATTGCAGAAGAGTAATTATAGGATGCAGGAAGATAGACAACATACTCAAAAATCCAGTGTTGAAAATCATTTGCATCAATTTGGTTGTTAGCCACTTTGAGGGACTAAAATTAAAAGTAAAAAACAGCATAGTAGTTTGCAGTGGCAAGTTAAACTTTCTATTCAGCAATGTTGCCTACAGAATGCTAAAGGCTTTAAATAAAGTATTGACTGACTGAGACTTTAATATTGTGGGACATGAGTAGTCAGGTAAATTACAAAATGTTACCATGAATGAATGAAGTAAAGAGGTTTATATTATTGATCACGCTGTAGTTTTTCTCGTCTTGTAGAGGCTGGCACTTATTCCATACTCAGCGTGTGTCAAGGAGAAGGACAAGAACCATTTATTGCCGATTTGGTAGGTGCCCTTTTCTTTTTTTTTTTTTTTTTTTTTTTTTTCAGGAATTATTTGGATTTTTAGAATTTAAAATAGTGTTAATATTATTTTACTTAAATGACATCGGTATGAGAAAATTGCAAAGATTGGGCTTAATTATTTATTCATGAGGAAAGAAAAGCCTCTTGTTTCTTTTACAGTTTTGGAGTGAAGCTTTCATTAACAGTAGGTAGTCTTACTGGGTTGCTTATTAATTTTCCTATTTTGAAATATCTGGACAGACCTGTAAAGAGAAATTATCCTTTCATATAGGTTTCTATTACTAATTACTTTCTACATGTCACAAAACCAACTGGAATGACTAAGATTTATCAAGAGGAAATATAAGACCAATACACTCTACTATAATTTTTTATCTTGAGAAACCTCTTATTAAATTCTTATATCATAATGAATGGACTGAAGTAAATCTGGATTTAAATTTAAGAGATAAAGCAGTCTTAATAATAGAAATGATGTATTCTTGTTGAGAAATCACTGCATCTATAGATGTTGGCTGCTTTTCTCAGTTGATGCTGGAAATATTTTCAGGTATAAAGCTTACTACAAAGTGGCAGAGAAGAGAAATAGAAGACAAGGTGTGGTGGAAAGTTGGTTTCTGTTAAGCATAGTAAAACTCTTTCCTGCTATTAAAGATGAATACGTTAGGTTCTTGAATGTGTAGAATATATCATATTTAAGAATTGAAATAATGCTACAAATTAACATAAAAGTACAAGTGGCTTGGCACTTTACAAAGTATAAAATATAGTGCAGATATAGAATGGAAATTAATGTTACAATAATTTAAAAAAAAAAAAAAAAAAAATGAGAGCAAAACATATGATGGGTAAAGGGGAAGATTTTTGTTATTTCCTTAAGTCATTTTTAGAGGATTTTCTACTTTAGCATTAAATCAATCTGATACACCAGCAAAAAATACCAAAGTTTTGAACAGTAAATGTATTTGAAATTATTAAAAATTTCTATATTAGACAGGATAGTAGCAACAAAACTTTTGATCCTGGTTCTATATCAGAAAAGTTGCCTTGTATGAATTTTCAACTTATGCCACATAAAGATTATCTCTAAAAGAAAAACTTGTGTAAAGCCCACCAGAAGGTAATTGTAAATGATTTCTTTGTTGTTATTGTTGAAACTGTTGTTCTGATAAGGAGACATCATTTACATCCCACATTCATTGTAATTCTCAAATTTTATAATAATGCCTATGAGATAAATTAAAATTCATCAAATGCAATAAAATATTTATAGTGTGTGATTGATTTGATCATTATTTATTCCAGGCTGTTGGTCTAAGAAGTAGATTTCTCAAAACAGGAGGTCTATCTAGGGGTGAACGATTTCAAGTATTTAATCGGCTAATTCATATTGAACAAATCCTGTCTGAGGCAGGTAAAGTGGAAAGAGACACAACTCATTGGACATTTCCTAAATTACTAACTGAAAAATCAGAATCTGTGCAACGAAACCCTGAATAAAAAAAATAAAAATGTAAGTATAAACTCATATTCTATAGAGAATTTTTTCCCTTCATGTATAAACTTACAATTTTATAATTTATAGATATGCACTTTCTGCTGAAAATAACTCGACTAATACATATAACTTTAAATGCTAAGTTTTTGGTTAAGTAAATTCATTATGATTCTGCAGATGTTACAGTAATTATGAACATAAAAAACATGAAGAAAGCAAACATTAAAATGATGAAAAATGACATATTTTTTTTAAATATATGAAAGTTTATAAAAGTTTAGTGACTGTAAAATTAATTTGTAATCTTCATAACAATCAGGTAGATATAAACAGTAAGCCAGATAGGAACAAGATATTTTGCAGCAGGGAAAGGTAATAAAATAATTCTTAACTTCTAACTTAGAATTTTTACATTACTTTTGGAGTTTGTGAATTCTTTGTTGCTGTTTCATTAGTAGTAGTCTTATTAACAAGATTCTTTTCAGCAGTAAAAATTATGAAGAATGATACAGAAAAAAAATGAACCAAGAAAGGTGGAAAATGCAACACCTTTTATTTTAATTTTAATAAATTTTTGATATTATCACCTCTTAATTTTCCAGAATTGTTCAAAATGGTCAATATTAAAAATGAAGAATCTTAGCAACGAAATAATAAAATTTCTAAAAAACAAATCTTTTGCAGAAAAATGCTGATAATTTCTATAACCATTTTGAATCCACATTACTACAATATTAAAATGAAATAATTAAAATATCAAACATGTTAGGTTTTTAACTTTAAATAAAGTATAAATTTAACTTCAAAGATGAAATAGGATGAAGAATGTTGAGGTGGGTTGGTAGTCATAGGACTAATTTGTTTCAATTTGAAGCATTTTAATCCAAGTTCATTCAAAAAGATTAGTTTTGCATTGCAAGAGTTGTCATATATCAGTATGCATTTTTTTATTTTAAGAGATAAAATGAAATTCAAAATTTTGTGCCATTTCTGGAGGAAGTACTGTAATAAAACATGTCAAAAATGGTTTCTGAAGATTAATTGATGACTGATTCTTTATAGTTGTGTTGATATCAATCAAATGAAAACATTACTTGAAAATAATTAAGGTTATACAATTCAAGAAATAGGCAAAAAAATCATTTCTACCAGCTTGGTTATGGTAATTACTTTGTATTACTTCCAGATCAATTGCTGAGCCATATTTCCCAGTGATTCACTACTTAAATGTAATGAAAATATTCTGTATTTGAAGTCAATTGTAGTGAGTGATGATCATTGCTAAAAGTTGTCTTTATTCAAAGAAGCTGATGCTGTGTATCTGGTTCAGTTGTAAAGGAACTAGATACTATGAAATCCTTCTAGAAAAGTGAAGATTGATTTAAACAAACATGACCCTCTAGCTAGGCCAAATTTGAATTAGATTAACGCTAGACTACATGTTTCTTTGGTGACCAGGAAAGAAATGGTTGCAGCTTGACTGAGAAGTTTTACTCCTCTATCATTTTCAAAACATATTGTTCTTTTAGATTATCATCTATTCTTGTCTTTAGAGAATTCTCTTAATGAAAAATTTAAATTTTCTGGAAAACTGTAAAAGACAGCAAAAACAGTTTGTTGTTGCTGCATAAGAAAATGGAATTAAGAAATTATCTGAAAGTTTTTAGAAAACCCTGTCCAATTCTCACATGATATACTTTTAAACCCAACCTTTTGATAACATAATGCTAATCCTATTGCTGGTTAAAGTGTATCTTCAAGTACATTCAAATGCATTGAATTATATGAACAACTCAAGTTGACAAGTGAATGACAAATTAATATTTTACTTAAATATTGTTGAATCCAAATGTTCTTACTGCAAAATCCACATCAAATCTGGCTGGCCAAACAGAGGAAGATCAGAGGTAAGAGAATGATAAACCCATGGAATCTTGGAAGATTAGGCTCCTTTGGCTGATCACAAGTCAACAGCAATTTTTGTAGCCTACACAATCTCCAAGAGAGCCAGATGTCCTCTAAGCAAAGATATGTTATCATATATGTGAGATTTGCAGACATCCTGACAGAAGACCCACATTGAATTGTGTAGCTCATTAGATGACCTCTGTGGTAGACTAAAAATAGTGGTTACATTCTTAGCTGATTATAGAGATAAGATGAAGCAGAAGCTTTGTTAATATATGAAAGAGGGGTGTTTGGTAAGATTTTGCCCAACAAATGGTCAGCAGATCAGTTTACCTTCAAGTGTTATGCACTTTCTTATAGTTGGTTTCCCGTCAAAATTTAACACCTAAAAAAAAAAAAATTTCACTAGCTTTTATATTTCATAAAAATTATCAAGGTATCAGGTTTTCTATAACATAACATTTATATTTGTAGTTAGGGTCATTAAAAAAAAAAAATCATATTTCTTCTATATGCAACAAATTTATCTTTATCAATGAAGAGCTTTTGGGCCAACCCACTTATCAAACAACAGATGTGTTTGAGGAAAATTCCATGTTGCATGGGCTAAGAACTATTCAGTACCTTATATATAAGCAGAAAAAGACAATGGGTACTCTGAAAATAATGCTTCCTGTTTGTTTCAGTGGAAGCTACAACAGATACAGAGATCAAAAAACATTTAGGTAGAGCAAGGTTTTAGTTACAAGCAGAATTTTCTGTACATTGACACCATCAATGTGGATGAGCTGAGCAAGGTGCTTTTTATTTTATGGAATGACAAATCTACAGGGCTGGCCAGATCATTGTTTACCACACACATATATATATATATATATATATATATATATAAAAACACACACACACACAACTTCTGTTCCACTACCTAACTGTGCTGACATCTCAGTAGACATTCAGCAAACTTGTTTATTGGCAGGTATAAAGTTTAACTGCTGCTGGCATACCACCAACATAAAATACAAAGCAGCATTACTTTTGGAGTGATCTCTAAAGCCTATATACAATTTCAGATTTTATTATGCTAAAATTGTTTTAAGATTTTCAGAATATACTTATATTTATCATAAATATACTATGGATTTTTTTTTTTTATAAGCTGAAACTCATAAATAAATATCATGAAATTTTATCAACATTATTTGGTTAATATGAATAGTATTGCAAACAAAAAAACAAGCATGTTATATTAAATAGAATAGATAGGGAAAATCTATTGAGTCTTTTAGGGAGTTTCTCTTGGTGCTAAATTAATATCTTTATTTCAGATGGAAACTTGCAAAGGAACTTACCTAAATTAAGTATTAGAACCAGAGTATTTTTGATGGCCACTGTTGGTTCTTTTTAAGTTAGAAAGTCCAAAATAACCAACATGGTAGTTATATTGAGCATAGGTTCACATGTGTATTTAACATCTGATCTGTCCAGTGACAAATATGATTTTACAATTTAAAAAGTGTTTTAATAAGACAGGGTTGTTTTCTTTTAATGTAAAGTGCTTCCAGAATTTGTAATTTTTTCCAGGTAAAGTGACAGAACTATTATATTGTCAAGCAAAATATGACAGAAATTAGTAGATGCATTTAATAAAACCTGTTGGCATGTAAGACTGATAGATTTCTGGGAAGTGTAGTGTCACCTCTTAGTTGTTATTATTCTAAAGTTCACTCTAACCTAGAGCGATAGTACCTGTTAGGGTCCCATTTATAGGTTAAATATGTCTGTATAAAAGTAGCTCACAGGGAGAGATGAACTCCACTGACTAAATCATCTATCTACAAGGCACTGATATAAAACTTGTGACTTCATTTGCTAAATATCAGGGATAGAGCATATGTAAATGTAAAAGTGGGCATTGATGTCAGCACCCAAAAATGGCAGTCTGTTTTGTGCTAAATGTAATTGTCAGACAATTGTGTTTAGCGTGAAACAGACTGTTGCTTCTGGGTGTTGACTTATACACACACTTTAAGAGTTGTGTTTTTAATTAAATTGTCCATGCAAGAGAAAAACAGTAATTGCACAAAAATCAACCCCTCACTTTCAAGCACATTTCAAATCAACTTGCAAAGATGTGTACATATCAACTGGTCAAAATTTAAATGAAATATATATTTGGAAATCTTTTTTCTCTCTCATGTTTATGAAATAAGAAAAATATAATCATCATGATTGCAAAATATTGAAATTAAAATTGTCATAATTGTTAGGATTCAATATCTTTTTTTTTTATTGTCATCTTTCTTCAGCTTTGCAATGTGGTAGAAGATAATTATGAATTAATTTTAACATTACTATTGTATATAAAAATAAATAGAGCAATTTTATGATGTTTTGCACAGAAAAATAAACAAACTCTATTGCTGTACTCAATAGAATTTTCCATTTAATTATTTCATATGACAACTTGTAGGAAATGGTCAGAAGACTTTGCAATATGATAGAAACTAAATTAGAAAATCATCTCTCATATTTAATTTTCAACACTGAAAAGAAAAATATTGCATTAGTGAAGCAGGCGTGAAAGGCAGGTGTGAGGAAAACATTTATCATATTTCTATACAAGACAAGATGAAGACAACGAAGCAGTTGATATGAAAAATCAAATGTTGAGTTTTATTGTTTCTGTCAGTCACATGACATTAGGATGAACTTAATAAGGCACATGTTGGGTGATGATGACAGAATGAAGAACATTTCTAACAAAGAATTATTGATTCTGATCACAGAAACAGAAATGAACATTGCTTCATCAATTTTGTTGATACAAATTTGTTTGCTACAGACAAAATATTTGAAAGTTTGTAAAAAGGCTTCTAAAAAATTTTCTTTGAATTTTTGGGCTGTTGATATTTTAAAAAATATCAAATTACCAAATGAAAAATATTAAATTAAAATTATATTTGTATATTTTTCAGAAGCAGATCTTATTTACACCAATTGATTTTGAAGACTTTCCTAAACTGATAGAACAATCACTGAGAAGTTATACAGTGTTCTAGTGTTTGTGTAAGTTTAACATTTTTTAACAGTTCACTTGAACTCTGCAGTTATTTGATATCTATTTTTATGTCATTGAAGAAAATTTTAAAAGGAATTAACAATAAATAAAAACCTTTTTACAAACATCGATCAAATTTAGGATCAGAATTAAGATAGAAGAATAATAATACAAATAATGAAAATGCAAAAAAAACAAAAAAAAAACTGTACATTGAAGTAAATAATTCTTCAGACTGGCTGATGGCTTGTAGCCCTATTTTGAGTTTACCTTACTGCAAATGTACAAGAAAGCAAGTACAGATCAATTTTCAAGGGAAAAAAAAGACAAACCACTACAGATGAAACTAAGAGATGCAAAAGGCAAGAATGCCTCAAAATTATCATATTCAGTAAATGACAATTATTGAATTTTAGGCAAGTTTTGTTTTCTATTTAAATTTTCAAAAATTTCTTTTTCAGTAAATATTAAAAAGAAGACATCTGATGTATTATGTGCATGCGTGCAGGAATTAACACGAATTGCATCAATAGACAAAATATAAAACCACCAGAAACTGCTGAAAAATGTTTGTCAACCAAATTTGGGTTTGAGTTGATTTTAGTTGTAGAGCTGAGGTCTTGGATAAAACTTTCTGACTTTTTTTTTTTTTTTTTTTAAATATCAGAAACAGGAATGTGCGATTGTGCAGCACTTTGAAGGCTTTTATTTGTATTAAAACAAAAACTTTTAGTAGACATTTTGTACATTGAAGTGAAAGAAAATAATTCTGGAGTAAAAAGAAAATTCACAAATAGTGAAATTGTCAAAAACAAAAAAAATTAAACATTTGATTGCTATGAGAATTGAGAGATATCTCAGGTCTCCTATCTGATAAAACAAGTTTGAGAGCATAATATATCAGAAGACATTTATAAGTCAATTTTTCAATATCGCCACCATTTAATGCTACATATTTTTCTAAATGTTCTTTCCATGAAGAAATTTTCTGGTTTACTTTTGATTCAATTACACATGCCAACTTTAGTATTAGATGAAAAGTATTGACCTTTCAAGGACTGTCAATTTTAAGAATGACTAGAAACGTGAAAGTGCCAAATTAAAGCTGTGTGGAAAATGTACAACTGAATTTCAGGCATTTTTTTTTTATATATTTGTTGATTGCAATGTAGCTTTGTGTTGTTGAAATGCAATAAAAAAGAAAGTATTCTGCAAATGTTTGAATGTCCAAAAGGTGTTACAGTTGTGCATCAAAAGTAAAATCAATAATTTCCTTCAGGCAGAATAAAAATTGGATAGATTATTTGTAGAAATGTGTTGTTTAAAATTGAGAATCTTGAAGAGAAATTTTGATACCAGTTTAATCATTTTATCTGGTCTAAAATTTGTTTTATAAAACTGGAGACATTTTTTTTGCCAATCAACCCTCAGACTAAAATGATTTTTAAATTGCTTTATTAAAACAATTAAAGTCTGATGGTTCCAAAAGCAGTTGGAATTATGGGAAAAAAAAAAAAAAAAACACAAAGTTGTCAACCAAACAGGAAATTGTAACAGCAACGTTTTGTGAGCAAGTAATTTGGATAAGAGAAAATATCCATGAAACAGCAGATTTCACACTGTATAAATCTCATGCAATAATTAAGAGTTTAACTTTTTCATGATTAAAAAGGGAAACAGTTTGAAGGTTGTTGTCTGCACTAATGAAGTTTTCCCATCAATAATGTGCTTTGACAAGAATGTTGTCAAAATAAATAGTAATGATCAAATTTAAATGATTCACTTGTTGCTAATTTCATAAAACAGCTGAAGTAAAAGATTTTAGCTCTAGGCCATTTAGAAATTGAACCACTAAATAAGTTTTATTTTCTTCAGAGATTTAATTAAAATTGTTAAATTACTATAGAAAATGAAGGTGGATAAAGGACAAAATATTTTGAAAACTAACCCTGCTGCTTGTATATTTTATACACTTTTGGTTTCTTTCTGAATTGTATTTCAAGTTCCCTTAAGAATAAGAAAAATAGCAAGGTAAACCAGTTTTAGTCAGTGTCAAAATTCACTTCATCATAAACAAAGAAAATTTGTTTTTCACCATTTCTAGATCTTTGTAGAAAATTTAATTTTATAAATATGAGTTTCTGCATTCATTCGAAAAACTTTTGAGCAAAAAGAACAAAATTGTGTAAAAATATTTCTGTTCATTTGCTGAATGGACCCTCCACTCCTCGTTTTTTTTTTCTTCTTTAAAAAAAGAAAAAAAAGGATATTTGTGAGATATTTTCCTGGTGTGGAGGTATACTTGAAGAGCACTTAATTTTCAAAGAGGCAGAAATTGACATATTAATGTTTTACTATAATGAGGGTAACTGATCCCTAAAATGAAAATTATCATGTAAAAGTGAAGCACAGCAGAATTTACTCCTTCCAGATGATAATATCACTTTTTCTAAGGCATAACATCCTTTGGGATATCCACCCCCCAATTTATAGGTATTTATTATTGTCAGCTGTTGGAAAAAAATAGGCAATTGTATCAGAGTAGAGAATAGTAAATTTATAAATTTGCAGACATTACCAAAAACTTGTAGGCTGTAATTTGAGGACATCTGTTGGTTGAAAAAGAAAAACACAAATACAGGACAGATCTTGATACAAATTTGGAGAGCATTTTTTCATTTTTAATCACCAGAGAAAAAGTAAAGTATTCTAAAAATAATCTGAAATCATGATAAGCTTTGTGTGCGTCTTTGCAGCTTAAATTTGATTTCTTATTAATCAATGAAATGAACCTTGGGACATGGAAGGAGATTTGAAATGAGACTACTACAAATGAGTAGTACTTTCTATATATTACCAACAGGAAAATGAAGCTAGACTTAAATCTTTACAGTAAAAGAATGACACTGCATTCATCTTTTAAATTATTTTGTTGATTGTATGGTTATATTGACAGCAATATTAAAGTAATTTTATTTTTGCATGAGCAACTCGGAATTTGTATGTACACAACTAACTGTCGTCACACATAAAAATATTTTCTACTGTTTAAATCATTAATAGTAAAAAAATATTCAAAGAAAGCTATTATGAAATAAATAAAAAGCATTGTATTAGTAGCCTGATATCCCCTACTTAATAATGAGATCTGTCATGATCTAGGCATATTTGCTTATTGATGATCATGCTTCCTGTTACTATAGCAATGGAATATTTCATTATTGAGAAGGGGTATTAAAGGTTGTGCCAGCCATTAAATATATCACATTATTTTTAACTATTCAATATATAAAACAGTCAGGATTTTGAATCTACCAACCAAACGACTTTTGGGGCCCGGTTTCATTTTTACCTGTGTAACCTGTATATTGAAAATCACTGAGAAAATTGGTCAAATTGCATATTGTTAAAACAAACTGGAATTATTGTAGCAGAATGATAGAAAATTGTTGTCGTTGTTTCAGTTTTGTTCAACACAAAGTAAAATGTTTGTTGACATGAAGTCATTGATTGAAAAAATTTCTGTAGATAAAATTCAAAAGAAAAGAGTGAAGGACAGATTGGATGGAGGAAAAAAAAAAAAATTCCACTCAATCTCCAGGATGGAAGTGTTCAAACAACAAATGTTTATCTTGAAGAGAAATTGATTTAAAAAGAAAACAACAGAAATCCAGCTAGCTGAGAGAGACTTAAAAATTCTCAATTTGTTAAAAGATTTCATACTTTTTTTTACATTTCTCTTCATCATTTTGTGATGCAATTTTTTTTTTTTTTTTCAAATTTAAGTCTGGAATCTAATCAAAGCCAAAGAAATCATAAATGACCTTTTTTTTGGAGTTAGTAACAAAAGTGGCACATGCAAAATGTTTTAGTATCTAAATTAACTATTTGCAGTTGCTTTGAAGCTATAGCCAAGGCAATTAGCAAATACCAAGCAACTTTATTCTTCACTAAAAGAAAAACAGACAAAATTGATAACCAAATATGTTTATGTTTATTTATTTCTTTCATTCATTTGTGTTTCAGTTATAAGGAAAGGAGTTGAGAAAATTACTAAAGAGGATTAAGGTTGATTCATTTAGAAGTCAGAGTGAAGATTTTGTGGGGTTAGGTTTATTCTCAGCTATTTTTGACCTCAGCTGAAATTAGAATTGGGTGAGTAGGTAAAGGCAATTTTTTTTTTTTTGGCAGGTTCACTCAAATTTGTTGCCTAAACATGAGGCTATGAGTTAAGTCTTTGAAAAGAGGTGGGAACATAAGTAAAGAATGGAAGAAGGACAAAGAAAAATTGATAAAATACTTTGCATTATTTGATAGAGTTTAAAAGTAAACATTTGAGACATCAAAAGTTGCTGTAACAAAGTTTACAGAAACTTGCATCTGCTATGATTATCTTTCAAATGACAAGATGTCTACAAGTAAGAACAAAAGCTCACTTGAAGTTTTTTCAGTCAAATTTTCAAGACAATTTCCTTGATTGTTTGCTGAAAAGAAATCCGACTTTCTATCAAATATTAAAACAAATTAGTCAATCACAATTGCAGATTTCAGAAGAGTTGGGTGGGAAGTTTACATTGAAGAACTAATGTTGATTTACAAATTACTGAGTTGGACTGTGCTGATTTGATATCACAAACCAGTGTACAAAATATGTGCCTCATAAAAAAAGCGTGGGGGAAGAAGGGATTTGAAATTTTGAAAAATTTACCATCCAACTCATGTTTGTGTGTCTACTGTTATTAGGTTGTAAGACAAAAAAAAAAAAAAAAAAAAAAAGAAGCAACTTATTCACATACATGCACAGATGTCACACATGTTCAATTTCTCACATACATATACACACACATACATGCATAGTCTTGTCTTGACCCCATAGTAATCTTTATAGCTCTACTGTATCATCATTATTATTATTATATACACATGAGAGAAGAGTCAACTCAGTTGACAAAAGCTGGTGATATTCAGATATTTCCAAATTTAAAAAATCCTGAGATTTCATTTCAAATTTAAAAAAAAAAAAGAGAGAGAGAGAGAATCAGTAGCAATACATTTTGCAGAATTATTAAAATAGAAGATGAATATTGTGAAATTTTTCTCATTATACAAAAATTCCTACAGAAAATCAGGAATAAAAGAGCTTTAAGAAAACATTTCTACACAATACTGCATGAGAGTAAGTTTATTAATATAGATTTTGTTTTTAAGAAAATCTATCCCCAAAGGTTAACTCCTTTGCAATAATACTCTTAAATTGTTTTGGGTAATTAGACAATTTAAAAATGTGTAGGCAAATGTTATTGTGTCAGCACCAACCATTGCTAATCCCCAATAGAATGGGTAAGAAAGGCCAGGTTCTGTCCCCCAAAATCTACAGAGGCTTGCTAACTGTTCTGATTTATTGTAACTTCCCCAAAATAATCAAGTGAAGAGCAGTTAATATGTGGACCTTCTGGAATTACATCACAGACGACCAATTTGCTTAAATGGGGAAAAACAACAATTTTTTCAATTTATTAGCTGTTTATGAATTTTTTTTCTTTGCGTTTCCCTAAACTAATTTTTTTAATTATTTTTGTTTATGATAAATTTCAGTGTTTCATTTCCATTGTTGCTTTACACCCTCATGACCGGAAAATTTTTATGACATCTTTGATGTGTTGTCTGCAAATTGGACAGAGAGCACCACGATCTTTCTTCACAGCCATGGCACACTCAAAACACATGCACATGTGACCACATGTGTAAAGAACACAGTTTATTGAACGTTCGTAGCAGACATTGCATTCGTTGCTTTCATTGTCTGCAATTGGGTTGTCATTGGATGCCGACATAATCGAAGGGCCTAAGCCTGACTCAAAGCTTGTTGACGGGTACAAGATGTGAGAATTATGCTGGTTCCCTCGATTAAAGTGGAGTGGAGGCATAGGTGGAGCTGAGTAGACCTTAGTTGGAGCTTGCTGCTGCTGCTGTTGTTGTTGTTGCGGGTACATATGACTTCCTCCTGCCCCATTTGACAATGATGACGCTGACGTTAGAGATGTGTGATGGAATGATGATGTAGGCATGCTAAAACTACGCAGCACCAGTGTAGACATAGCTGCAGATGATGATGATGTCGACGAGGAGGAAGAGGAAGAAGAAGAGTTGTTATTGTTGTTGTTGTTAGTGGGCCCACTATGGCTCACATGGTATGGGGTAGGAGTTGTCGGTGTTGTGCACTGGCGAGGAGGGAGGGCCACAGTCAGGCCACTACCATTCCCTAGGCAGGCAGAGGCTGGACGTAGTCGTCTTATCTGCGATGGGTGTGCAGAACCTGAAAAAGAAAAGTTTTAAGAGATGATAAAGATGAAATCACCTCATCACAATAAATAGAGAAAATATAAAAATTAAGATGAGTTGTGGGAATCTCCCTAAATTTTACTAAAAGTTAAATTTAGGTTGTATTAATTTTCTTGTTAAGATACATTTTAAACAATAGCAACATCTTGTCCTTGAATATAAAAAGCATTTTTTTTTTTTTTTTAATTATACAAATCCTTTGATATTAAATCTTACATGATATACAAAACACACATTGGTTTCATTTGTACAGATTTGATGCCATTGTATGATGATGTTCAACAAGAACAATTTATAAGCTAGCACTTTGATAAGTCTTTATTAATATTTTGTTTACTCATATTATCAAAGAATGATAGAGATTAAGTAACTTTGTAATGGTATTACTTATATTTTCTGCTGGAGTATTTTATTTATACAATTAACACTGTCACATGTCAGAAAAAATTATGCTTTTTAAAATCATTAAAGTAAAAAATATCCAAAGAAAGAAAAAAATATATTAGCAGCCTGATCTTCCCTACTTAATAATGAGGTATACTGTTATAGTAACATTAGACATATATTCTTATTGGCATCAGGTAATGCCTCTTGTTATCACAGCAGAATTATTATTTAGAAGTGCATGACCAATAAATATAGAAAGTTAAATTGTTGTGTTTGTTAATAATTATGAAGTTTAATTCAGTGCCTGGAACTTTTCATTTTAAGAAACATTTAAATAATTTATATTTAAGAACTTTTTGACATTAAAAATAGTGTCTTGCTTACATTTTAGTGATGTTTGGTAATTGATTTTCATGTGACAATTATTTTTATTCACATGCCTAATTTTATTGAAATGATTTCCATTTGATAGTCTCGATACATGTGCTTAAATTGGTTGATATTTTTCTGCTAAAATATATAAATGCAGCAGTGCAATTTTCAAAATTTAAATTTTTGCTCACATTTAAACAATCCACTTTAAGACAACTCATTTTTTTAAAAATTATTAAGTTTAAACGCTTTAAACAGTTTGAAAATTGTCAGGACAAAGTATTGACAATAATAAAAAAAATGGAACAATTATTATTGGGCAGAGCTTGTGCATCAAAGTTTACACAGGAATTTAGATCCAATTATTGATATTATTATTTCATTCATTTCTCTTTTAAAATACTCATCACTTTAAGATTAAATATTTAATGAACTTTCAATGGATAAGGACCTTTTTTTTTTCCAGCCAAGTAAACTAAACTGACAAATGATTGGGTCCTCTAATATATTTTATTTGTAAGGGGAGCATGGACCTTTCAGTGGGAAAACTTGAGCAAAATAACTTACTATGTTCAATATTACATTATCATAAAAAAATTTCCCTATAAAATAAGTACTAATAAACAAGATAAGACTTTGAGATAACAGAAGGGAAACATGTCTAAGAGGATAATTGATTCATCAAAAAGATGACTACGAATTAACATTTTCAGTTGCTTGGATTTTCTTTGAATAACTTTAACAAACCTCACCTATTCAACACTACAAACAGAAATATAGCACCAATTAATTTCCAGACAAGTCTGAAAAATAAGATACTACCAAACATGATTGTCACAGATTTTATAAACTAACAGAAAAGAAAAAACACAGCATTTATAATTGAGATCTAATAAAAAATTTTTATCTTTTTGTTTTGTTACTAAAAGATTAGATTTGTAATTCTTGCAGTCTCAAATTTAGTATTCTAACTACAAGGATGCCAAATAAATTGCTTAGTTGATAATGTACTTGTGTTTGGGAAATGGAGATAAATAATAAAGAAACAAGAAATGAATTCAACATCTTTTGTATCTGTTGTTTCAAGTGTGTGTGTATATATATATATATATATATACACACACACACACACATCTGAACAATAATCTTGGCTTCAAATACCAGTCGTTAACACTAGTAAAAAAAAAAAAAAAAGGCAACGCTCTTTCTATCTCTCTCTCCCATGAGGTATTATCAAAAGTTTTAAAAAATTCTTTTACTGTATAAATGGAAGAAATTTTAAAAGGTTATAAAAAAAGTGAAAAACTTTTTTGGTTTCAGTGCAATCCAGAACCTTTAAGATCATCAGGATTATCAATGTTGAATAATTGCTTTTCATGGTATTTATTAGAATAATGGGAATCACTTTGCAATGCCTGTCTCCTCTCCAATAAGTATGCATTAGGTTACACGGTACCAGCAGGAAGTAGTAGTAACCCCTGACTTTAACAATTCTTGGGAAAGATAGTGGAGTGGTTCCCCCATTGCCTTCCTCACAGTTTGCAATTCAAGAGTACTTCTCCTCTTAGACTGGCTGCCATACAGGGCTACAGAGCTTAATTTACCCTGTTATTTAACTCATAGTGGGAAAAGAGACGGATTCATGCCTTTCCAAAATGCAGAAGTGAATGCAGCAGAATCAATCAAAATTTGAACTAAGCTCAATGATTCCACTTTTCTGCCTCAATAACCACTGGTGTAAAAAGTGGAAATTGGTGAATTGAGTTCAAATCATCATATATGTGTACTCATCTACTTTCACTTTGAGTAAAGCATATATAATAAATCACATAACAATAACATGAATTGCAAATACATCCCTGTTTTTTTTTGGTGTCTATGCAAATTAATAAATATTGTGCTCACCTGATTTGTAATTGGCAAATTATAATCTTTTAAACCTACATTGTTCCTGATATCATCAATTTTCAACTCAGTATCTATGCTGAGGAGATAACTATTTGCCCCTGTCTTAATAGTAAATCTGATCAGTTCAATAAGGTCAAATTGGCAGCTAATCTCAAAAATGATCATTAATCCATTAATTGGGGTAAGGAATTTTAACACCTCCAAAATAAAAGTGCTCTCTTAATCGTCTGAGAGAACCCTTTCTGCCTTCCATCAGCATGGTTGATACTAATCTCCAGGAGAGTGATTCATTGTGTCTTCTTTGGCTAATGTTTTCCGCTGACATGAAGTGAAAAGATTATATTGAATCAATTGCTAAGTCTGCCGGTAGGAAAGTGGGTTCACTGTTTTGCTAGATAATTATTCTGACCAGACTATCTTAACATTCGCCCATGCATTGAATATTGCTTCTATGTATTTAGAGATTTTTTGATAAAATACATAGAAGAATCTGCAATGTTATTGGCCTTGACCTTGCATCTCCACTTCAGTTTCCCATCACTGTAACATAGCTTCCCTGTATCTTTCTTATAAATATTTTCATAGTAATTGTTCTGATGAAATTTCATCTATGGTACCTAGACTTTATAAATTTATGCACAAGAATATAATGTAATATCAGTCCTCTCCTAAATAGCAGTGAATGCTGGACAATCTCCTCACAGATAAAGAAGAGACTTGAAGTAACAAAAGTGTGGTTCTACAAAAGAATACTGAGAATACCATGGACCAAACATGTAAGTAATGACAAAGTTTTAGAGAACAGAAACAAAAAGGAAGAGACAGTTGAAATTTCTAGAGCACATAATAAAGAAAGAGGACTTTGGAAAATTTGATACTCACAGGACAGATCGAAGACAAGAGAGAGGAAAACAATGCATAACCTAGTTTGGTAAGTTTGAGTGAATGGATAGTCTTTGGGAGAGATGGCAAAAAAGACAAAATTTATTGAGAGCTACAAAAGACAGGAAGTTGTGGAGAGTCATGATTGCCAATATCCTGAAGGGACACAGCACATAGAAGTAGACTATATTGGTGGTAAGGTCTCATTATTTTACAGTTGAAATTGCTAGATGTAACCATAAGTTCTATTCTAATAATTTCTTCTCACTTATGGAACTCTATTTTGGCTTCTGACTTTCCGGTCAACTTTGATCAAAAATTTAAATCCAATGTCAATCATTATGTTCTGTCTTCTTAATTTCTGTTCTGTTATTGTTCTCCTAAATAATGTTTTCTTTCTCTCATAAATTCTCACACTCACTAACCCCTTGCATCTTACTGGCTTTATTGCTTTGCTTGGGGGATGATAAAAAAAGCAAAAAAAAAAAAAAAAAAAAAATAGAAATAAAAATAGGTTAAAAAATAGATGAAGGAAAACTAGTGAAGGTTCTTGTAAATAAGCAGGTTTTTAGGTATCATTTTGTTTATATCAATTTTCATTATCCAAAGCCAACCAAAGAGGAAATCTAATTTTAAATTGAGTTGTCAATTCAGTCTCTACCAAATAAGCAGTATCTTTGCAAAATGGAACAAGTTAAATCATTTTATTTGTAATGCACAAACTAGTCATAATTAAATTTAAATATTAATTTAAATAATTTAATTAAAAATTTTTTGATCTAAACCAACATGCAGCTTTATTTCAGTTTAGATGAAATGATTAATTGAATCTTAATTTAAACTTTTCTGTTATATGTGTGTGTTTGCAATGTACAACAAGTAAACCCTTTCTCTGACTGTGACAGAATTCACAACTCACATGATTGAAGAATTTCAACCAGAGTGTATTTTCATGGGCCGATGCATCCCCACAAGTGGCCCAGGACTGCTTGGAAATGAGTGATTTTATTGAGTCACCATCTCCAGACTGGTTGCCACCCAAGGCTATATAAAACCCAGCCTGTCCTACTATTTACCCATACCGGGGAGGAGAACAGTTGGATTCATACCATTCTCAAGGTTATCATTATGTAAGTGAATGTATGAAATCAATTGGAATTTAAAATCTGTTTTGCAATTCCTTAATCCAAGCTGCAATCCATTACTCTACCATACATCCTAAATGAAAAATACAAATTAAGCATCAATTTAATTTTAAAAACTTAATATAATTTAACTTAAATAATGAATTAAAAATTTTAATTTAATTATGATTAAAATCTGAACTGACATGATGCAGTATATGTTGATACACAAACACACTTGGTGCATATTTAGTAAAATGTGCAATTTGGGTTTGTGTGTGCAAACATTCAAAGAGAATGA